AAAAATAAAAGTTTCAGTTTGATTTTACTGATCTTTCAAAATAATACAGTGTAATTTTGATGACTTGTAAAATACTGTACATTGACAGTGTCGTTCAATTGTCACTTGCCGATTTCCGTTCTCTACCGTTTTCAATTGTTGATATTTTTTAGCCCTAATAATATCGCGGTTGATTTGTTCTTTGTGACTGTGTAACGTTTTGTTGCCATTATTGGCAAAAATTTACAAAATTTCAATTTTATATGTCTTACATATACTGTCTGCTTAGCTGACATTACATATATGCTAAGATGTCTTCTGCAAAAAGTAGTAGAAGAAAAAGAGTCATTTTGTTTATTGCATACCGCTCGGTGTGAAGCGTCAAAATCTTTTCCAATAATTCTTTTATTTTGACATATTCATCTTTCAGAAATCATAAGTGTTGAAAAATATAATGAACAGAGGATGGCTGAAAATGATGTGCTAAGTTTTTATGATGAAGAATCTCCTTCATGCAGTGAGCGTGATGTTGGTTTAAATTTCCAGTATGAATGGCTTGTTAAAGTTTGTAAGAGGTAAATGACTATGTAATTATTTGTCATCTTTAAATGTGGTTGGTAAAAGACTGTGAATTTGACTTTTTGCTGTCTGTAAAAGCTGCTGGAAAATTTTACTTTGAATTTTACAGTTTAGTTTCTATGAAGTTCATTGGTTAGCAATTGGCAAACATATACATTTTAATTAATAATAGCTATTTGTAATTTCGTTGATGGCCTTTTGACAATGAAGCTGTAATTTTCAATCATAAAATTTTTTGTTGGGAGTCTGACAGTGTTTTGTTTAGGCCAATTGGAAATGGCGAGTATGCAATTTTAAATGTATCACCTGCGTTCAGCACTGCTTACAATGGAATACAGTTCACATGGACACTAAGACTGAATGCAGACTGTCTGGCTCATGATTATTTAGATGGAGGCAGCAATGGCGTCAATGTGTTTTTGTATTATAAAGATGGACCAGCACAGGACGTCTCTATACTTGATGGAAAGTAGGGAATCAGAGTCTACTCCTTTAGCATTTGATATTCATGTGGTTTCAAGTATCATCAATTTGTTGTTGGCTTGATGTAAAGATATCCAGATTTATGAGATTGCAAATTACGATTCTTAAGAAAGTTGTGCTAATGGTCTAGTGCTGTTTAAGAAGGCTATTGATTTTCAAAGATTGTTGTGATATTTTTTTTTATCACTTTAGAATTACATTAATGGATAAGAAAGGGAAAATTATTTTTTCCGACCTGAAGATTCCTGAAAGTGAATGGACTCGAGGTAGTGGATGGCCTGCAGTAACGGCTACAGAAGACCATCGTGCGATTTCTGCATTCTTAAATGATAACGTTAACTCTATAATTAGAATAGCGGTTAACATCAGGTTTGTGATTTCGTGATTCTTTTTTAAGGGTTTTTTTGCATTTTTGATAATTTATAGCACGTCATTGAGCGCTAGTTCCTATGTTTTAGGATGTCAGCTGCTGTTTTTTCTCCACTTCACTATTTTCCACAGCTAGACACTGCTGGTACAAGATTAGAAGACGCTTGTAGGAAGTATCTTTGTGATGTTGGGATTGATCCATCTATAGTTCCAGACTCTGACATCGTTCTCAACGAGGTGAGTTTTTTCAGATATATAATTTCTAAAAATTTCTACGCACTGTCTTTATTTCTTGTTTATTATTATACATTTTAGCCTGACGTTTTTGCAATACATCGTTTGATTTTCAATCACGGATGTAACCATTTGGAGCAAGCGCTCAATTCAACTTATGACAAAAAGAAGATTCATAACGTGAGTCTTACAACCTTTTTTAGTTCGACGTTGTCCTTTAAATCTCTTCATGTTCTTATTAAATGTATACTTTTTTCAGGTTTTTGCGCACATTTATTTTACTGAGTGTGTAATGCAGTCTGTTGAGGGCTTTACTGATTTCATTAGAGTAATTGAGGGATTGCGTTATCATAATGTAACTGGACTCATACGGGAAGCTGAACGTTTTATTTGTAGGAAGCTTGTTTCTGTAAGTTGATCTTCAATATCTGCCTTTTCAATGAATATTTTCAGTAACTTTGAAGGTTTATGAAGTGATAGTTAATTTTCATTTTGGTTTTGTGAATGAACTGAAAACATAAGCTGTTAGGCATTTTTTTGTTTAGGATTTTCAGGTGTTAAAATTTTGCATTTATTTAATTACGTATTTTCGAGAGTTCCTGTTTTTCAGTGTCGTAAGGATACGGGCACCGTGAAGAAGATGCTGCTTCTTGCCGAAAGATATCAGATGCCCGTATTGAAAATGATGTGCGCAGGGATTCTTGCAGATCATATTATCGAATATACTGACTCTGCGCGACGGTTCGATGTAATAACCAAAGAGATGAAGCTGATAGCTAAACAAATAGAGTGAGTCATCACTTATCTTCACTAGCGTTTTGTAGCGATAAAGCAGTGTTGTGATAAAATTATAAAATTTGGTCTTGATTTGTGCATAGATATCTTTGTTGTTAGTGGAAATTCTGTTTGAAGTTTTTGAACTATGTGTTTCATAATTGATCACCTGAGGGAACTCGATCTTTCTTAAAACTCTTCATTTTTCAAGTGAGTTAGGTTACTGAAATCTTTTATTTTTGTTTATTTTTTTGCGATAGTTATCTTTATTTTTAGCGCCGACGACTCATTTTCTGACGAAAATAAAAATAATGACATCATGGTCGAGAGCGTGGTCGAAGAACTTAAATTGCTTGCTAAAAGGATGCGACGAGTTTCAGTGTCCAGGTCTGTTTCATTCTTTATCTTTCAGCGTTTCTACTGCTTTAGTGTAAGATTTAAGACCTTATTTATCTTGTTAAGGGCTTGCAGCTGTAGGGCTATTGTTCTTATCACTAGTAATTTGAAGTTACAGGTCATCGTCTACAACAAGTACGAAGTCTTCGAGATCTAATTCTCCCTCGTCACATTCTCCTTTACATATTTGTCAGTAAAGACGACGTTTCAGCCTTTGAATCTCGAGGATATTTAAAATACTACGTTATTTTTTCTTTGTTTTTCCTCTCTTATATGCATTTATGGCGTTGTATCATTATATGAGTATCAACCAGGTAAAGTTTTTGTTTTATATGCTTTTGTTTTGATAATTTGCTTTCTAGTTATATCATTATATTTGTTTGTACTGTTAAATTTTTGTTTTTTCTTTTTTTTTTCGAATATTACTCTTATGGATCGTTTTGGGGCGGGTGTAAAAAACTCAGCAAATTGCATTTCACAGTTGCATTTTTCTTTTTGAAAGTTGTTCAGTCGTAACTTTGCTGGTATATTTGTTTTAATTGATAAGCTGTTAGATGTCTAAGTTGTAAAGCTGTGTTTCGTTTACCTGAACCAGGTAATATTTTAGGCATTAGCTTGAGAATACAGCTTCGTTTTTGTTCCGTTCTTTGCTTAATTTAATAAGCAAAATTTTTTATATCTGCCTTTTTTTATTTTGACCCTCCTTAATTTTCTTCTTTGTTCATTCTCTCTTGACACAAAATTGGAGCTTCGTCACTCGGTTATAAAGATTCATTGTGATCATTATCTATTTAAGGGAGAAGAATTAGAAGGAATCCTTATGAGTTATTTACAAGTTATATGTGCAGCACATTTGTTGACCGAAGTGCCTAAGATGAGAATAGGGTCTTTGTGTTCGTAGCAGACCTGTAGACACTACCCGCCACACGTACTACAAAAGACAAACTTCAGGAATTTTTGTTAAGGAACCCGCATCTAATGCGTCTTGAAGACCATTATTCGTCAGCATCACTAAGAGGTGAGAAGACAAGAAGAGAAAAAAACGGTACTAAACTGAAGAGAATAAGAAAGTAAAGGAATTGAAGGTACTGGGTTATAATGAACACCAGTACATATGTTTATATATAGTTGGTTATGTGATGATTAACAAGATTGTTTTCAGTTGTTAAAGTAATAGCACTGAAGCTGAGTGTCGTTTTGGTCGAGACTTTTAGTTTTCTGAGTTCTTTTTTATTTCTGCTAATTTGAGCTGCCTTGTTTTTTACTCATTCTTCTTATCTCTAGTTCGTTGGCAATTTGGCGTTCAGGTACATTAAATGGGGCTTCTTAAGAGTAACGTGTAAGTTTTACAGTTTCTGTCGCATTATGGCTGTTAGTTTTCCCAGGTTTGCAACAAGTTTAATTGCCATACTCTTGTCTTTGACGTTTTACTCATTAGATATGTTGTGTTTTAAGTCGTAAGGGTTCTTTCTGTTATTTTCGTCTATTTTTTTAAATTTCCTACACTTTTTTCTTTGTTTATTTTTGATGCTCTCCGGGTCCTCTTAGCAAATCTAAGTTTTACTTGTTTTGCCTTTTCTGATTTGAAAAGTCATTGATTTGTATGTTTTTTGTGTAGAGTCGTGAAGGGCATCCTGTGCTCCAGTAATAACTGTAGATTATATCAGAATTTTACTTGAAAATTGCAGGAAATAAAATGAATTATCTGCCTGTTGTTGTGGTTTTTGCAAAAATTGAATAAATGCTGAATGTTTTTGGAGGGCAATGCCCTGTAATCAGAGTTAGCAAGTGATACATAGCAATAGTAGTCTACTTTTATGTTGTCCTGTTATGAGTAAAATGATTAACTCTTAATTCAATGGTAGCTAGATCTGATGTAATGTCTTTTGAATAATGACTTGTAGTCAGTATTTTTTGTCCAGGACTGAGCATTCCCTAGTTCCAGAAAACCAGTGGAGGTGGCTGAACATTTCTGTTGGCTGGCAAGACTTCTTGTTTAACTGTCAAGCTAGCACAAGCTAGCAACAGTACTCAAACTTGGATGATTTTTGAACTGTGAAGTATTTTTTGTTGGTTGGCACCATTATATTTAGAAACTGAAGTCTATGTCGTGCAAAAACTGTTTAGGGACTGGTAGTTTGAACGTCTTGAAACAGGTTCAGTTGAAAACAGTGATTATAACGACTAAAAAGCAAAAGCTGTGACAGAAAGCATATATCAAAAAAAGATATTGTGGTCAAAAGATATGCGGAGGTTTTTGAAATGCTGGAAGTAATTCCATCTGTAATATTTTTTGATACTGCAGCAAATGATGACAGCTGTGGATAACCGTACAGCAAAATGATTTAAATAACTTCCGAAACTTTATGCTCTGTTTCTTTCAGCACTTTGAATAATACATGATGTGGCAAGAATGCAAAATGTTTGAATTGTTGAATAATTTTCGTGGGGACGCATTGATAACGCTTAAACTAAATTACAATTGCACGGTCACCAGGTTGTTCGTTTCAGAAACATCAGTTTGCTTACCAGGACAAAAAAAGTTTAGCTCTTGCATCAAGACGGACTGGTATGACGGGAATAAAAAAATGGAAATTAAACTGCTGTTGTAAGATATTTATTCACTAAAACCCAAAAGATTTTTGATTGTTACTTCCAAATACAAAAATTACTTTTATCACTGGTCGTTCCCTTTCAAAAGATCATACTTGGCAGTCCATTTGCAATAATAATTAGCACTGGCCCAGAACCGTTTGGAGCTTGTTGTTTTTTATTTTGAAAGTCTACTTGTAATCTAAACTTATAACTGTGAAGAAATTAACGGAAGAAATTTGAAAAGTGAACTTGAGAGAGGTTGTCAAAAATCTCGAAATGATCAGACGAACCAATTTGTTTTTCAGCACGTTATTTCTTTATGCTTCAGATACTTGTATGAAATGGGTTGTTTGTTGTGAGAGGAAAGCCTCTATGCCAGCAAATATTAAGGTCACTTCTCCGTTGCCTTCTTCCTCGTAATCGATTGCTCTGGTATCTGCGCGGTCCGCTTAAAGCAAGCGAGGAGCTGAATTTCCATTTGGTGTTCATCTTTCGAAAATCATTCGGAGGTTAAGGGTCAGGCAAAGCAACCATGAATCGATGACACTGTCGGTAGTAATCCAGCAAAAATATGAACTCTAACACCTCTTTCGAAAATTAAAAAAATTGTTGATAAAAGACTTTTTGTTGTAAGACATAATTGGAAAAATTTTGGGTGTTTATTTCCGGCTTAACGAAACCAGTTTAAAACAGATCCTTCAGGATACCAGTTTGGTTTTTTGCGATATACTAACTCAAAATGCGTCTTCACTGTTTCAAACTAATATTACCGACCTAAAAAGTCAAGCGCTCTGGACACTTATAAAGTATTAGATATGAGCTTCCGAATATTGTGTTAAAACATCAAAACAGATCTCCCAAAGTTGAATGCGGTATTGAAAAAAATTTGAACAGTTACAATAATAAAGAGCTCTAGAAAGAAGAATATCAAATGTAATCAACTTTTTATAGAGTAACACAAATTTGCTGTTCTATACCACCGTGTTTAAATAGCATCAAAAATATGGCGCCATTACAAAACAAATAACAGTGCGGATATACGCAACCAAATTGTGCTTACTCCTGGTTCTGACATTTTCAGTTAAAGAAAGCGATAAGGAACTTCTGCTTCTATCAAGAGGTTTGAAGAGCTTGTACTAAACTACATGGCCTTCGTTACACTGCGTGAAAAACTTTCAGTTTGCCGGTTCGTCTTTGTACTAATAACTGTAAACTGATCAACAGGCACCTTGTAAGTTGAGAGTCAGTTAGTAAGAAGAGTTCACTGATCGTAAATCATCGTACGCTTTGTTTATTCTGGTTAAGTCAATTAAAGAAGTAAGTAAATTTATTTAAAAATGAGCGATAATTAATACCTCAAAACCTTGTTTTATCGTTACTCAACACTGATTTTGAACTAAACAAATACTTGACTGTTTTGAACAAGAATTTCTTGAAACTTCTAGTCTTCAGTCGTATCACACCTAGTTTTATTAATTCATTTAGAGAAATATCATAAAGCATTAAAACATTTGCTGTTTGAAAATAATCGATTTTTAAATTGCTTTTTTTTCAAATCACTAACGTCTTTCAATTTCGTTTAATTAGAAAAACTCTGCTTAATTTTTCGCTTTTTTTAAAATCATATTTGCTTTCAAGATTTTACCGTAACCAAGAACAAACTAGTTTCGAAGGCACAATCACAAGCGAACATTTTTTTGGTGGTCTGTTATTAAGTTTCTGGCCAAACCTATGAAACTCAATAAGTATTAAGATTTTTCTGTGAACAATGTTGCTAAAGTTTCCCAACAACAAACTTTTTGATACATTTACTATTGTCACTTTCTCTGCAGCCCGTTTCGCGTCAAATGGTAGTATAGCGGAGCGATTAGGTACTTGAGGAGGTACTGATAAACCGCTCCAACAGACGGTATTAAAGAAAAGAAAGAGGCTAAAAGTGGAAATCTTGTTTTTCTCGAGAAACACTGCATAGGTCTAATTCTAGTTCTTAAGCATTTAATACAACTTAAAGGTGTCATCGAGATACAAACCACAAAGTTTATATCTCACATCAAAAAATTTCACTGTTCAAAGAGTGCTGTCAGTGCGTCTTCATAAAGGAAATGACCGACTTGTTATAACTGGCAAAAAAAAAAACAAACAATCTGAATTAACGACCGAGATATTAACAAAATACGTAGTAAGAACATCTAGTGAAGTGAAAGACATCGAAAATACAAGTAGTAAAGAGTAATTAAAAGTCATTTTTTGACTTTTCAAATAATTGCAGACTGCGCGAAAAGGGAGCGTGGTAAGTCAAGCAAGGTGTGCAGAAAAACAAAATTAAGTCAAGTAAAAAGTGAAAAGGTAAAGAGTAAACTTAAGCATTGAAAAAAAAGCATTGGAGAACTGTCATGGCAACATCTCTATTGTTCTCGAAGACTGAACTACTGTTTTAAGCAGTACATTCACAGAAAATTAAAAGAAGTCTGTTATTATGGTATATTTAAATTTTGTTGATTTGTAACCGCTCCAGAAGATAATTTGCAGCTAGCTTTCAGATAACACAAAGTATTGCCTACAACTTTTGAACAGAGTAAAAGAACAAAAACTTATTGCTTTT